ACACACATTATAGCGAGCTACATAACACGTTATTTAAACAATTGTTCCACTAGAGATACTCTTAAGAAATCAAATCCTTTTCCCTCCACCTTTCAAGATATGTTATCGGTAAATCTATAGGCTCACAACAAGGACCACATGAAGATAAGAAAAGACCATATCAAGATAAAGAGAAAAACTTCAGTGAATCCCCTGTCCAGAAGAGGACCAATTAAACAACTTTCATATAAAAAAAGAATATATATCTATATATGTGTATTAATTAATGAAGTTATGAGTTATTCCAGTTAAAGAAAAACATAATCAACCCGTCTGTGACTTAGAAATCATCAATATACAAATATCAAGTAACACTGTATTGGGGTTCGCAGACAACAGTGGAGTCAACCTTCATATCCCCTCCAAAGGGTCGAATTAACCAAAATGCTGTACATTCAAACTCTTGGAATGCGTGTGTCAAACAGAAAAATGACACCCCTGTAAAAATCTTTCTTTCAACCGATAACTCTGAAGATCTTTCAGTTTCCTAATAACATTTGTCGCTTATCTTCTGTCATGTACCTCCCAAATGATACAACCTGTAATGAACGTTCAAAGTTGAATGAATGCAATCAAAACATGTTGATTATCAGAGCAGTATTATAACGGCAAGGATGGGGGAAGTTACATTTAAGGATACGGCATCAGACAAACACAATTAACATCACAAGTTCATAAAATAGTGCCACAAATAGTTTTCAGAAACGAACATAGAAGAGATGTGAATAAAAGATGGTAAACACAGCTGAACTATTGTTGTTGCAGAAAAAAATAAATTTAAAAAAGGAACAAAAAAGGGAAAAGAAAACATGTTGTACTTCAGCAGCAACTCTTGCTCATTTTTTAGCAGTCAGATGAATTAAGTTGAAACATGCTGTAACGCATGATGTTTCATTCCATGCGCCAAAGTCGTCTAGTAGTATATGAGACATCAAGCTTCAAGTTTATACATAGGTTCATATCCTGCCACCTTGAGTCTTGAAGATGAAATATCACTCACCATGAATGCACGAATATAGTTGAAGTGCTGTATCGCCTGTTGGTATCTATCAGAATCAGTGTTTTTCAACCCGGACTGGCCCGGCGAGTCGACCCGGACTCGGTCGACCCGGAGCTGGAACCGGTCCGGGTGAGCTATTCGGATCGGGAAACAACGGACCCGGTCAACCCGGCATTGACCCGGCTGGGTTAACCCGGTTGACCCGGTCCAATATATTTTTTTTATTATTTTTTTTATTTTTTAATATATTTTTTGTTTTTAAAAAATAAAACTATTTATATATATTTATATGGTAAATATTTATCATGAAATACATATTATTAGCACTTTAATGTGCAAATTTTATATACAAAATATTTAATTTTGTTATTTTTATGTATATTTATAAGACAAAATACTCTATATATAATTTAAAAAAATTTAAAATTAATTATCCGGTTCAGCAATTGACCCGGTGACCCGGTGACACGGAGACCTGCCCGGGTCGATTCCCGGGCCGGGTTTAAAAACTATGATCAGAATTCATAAATTCTAGGGCTCAGGTCTTTAGTATTCTCTTATTTATGACCTGTGTCTACTATTTAGGCCAATTGCTTTGAATGAACAGCGTCGAATCAGGTATATGAGATCTTACGATTTTGTATATGCGTTCTTTACTACTTCTAGGTTGGCAAAACGGTATTCGTCTGTTACCAGTTTTAGCAAACTTAGATTCTGGATCAAGTATTGCTCCTTGTCTGGTGAACATTAAGTTTAAAGGTTAGCCCACAAAAAAAGATTCAGTTGCAACTTGCTGACTTTCAACAACATTTTTGCATGTGCTTTTAAACCATCAAAAGCTGTCCACCATCTTAATCACTATATTAACTTTAATCAACAGACTAAATTCTTCTCCTTTATTTAAATTGGCATTTTATTAGCATCGTTAAAGTCAATTGAACTAAATAAAGGTGTGTTTTGGGATATGAACATACCAATCAGAACATCAAGGCAGACATTCAAATGAAAAAGGTAGCATGATCTAAGTAACAGTTAACAAATATTAACAGAAAAAATTTCGGCAGCATACCAACACAATAACTTTAGGTGGGAAGAAGGGGTTGCCTTTCATCTGGTCCCACTCGATGACTAGCCTGTACACAGCACAAAGAAATCAGTGAACCATGTGTTCTAGAAGTAAGATGTCAGTGATGTTGTTAACTATATTATAGGCCCAGCCCATATATACGTAAGGCCCTAAGTCTATATATATGGGCATCTTGAGATGTGAATAATTTTATTCGTCCAAAACCCTAAGGTTCGTAACAGAAGTTATATCCTTAAAGAGTGATAAGAGATTGTACCTCCACATCGGCTCCAGCGGCCATGTTTATGAAGGATGAATCCCTTAATCTGGAAGGATGGATAAGAGAAGATGCAATATAAGTACATAACACTAACTTTTAACTTCAGAATAAACTATGTAAAAGAATGTTAAGAGGAGAATGAATTACATATTTCCAGAACTACAAATCAAACAAATGTTCGGTAAAAATAACCCAAAATGGACTCGCAAAAGCCATAATAAGAAGTCTCAAGTCTTAAGACTCGACTTAAACAAATTAATGTCACCACCTAGCTTCGATGTAAGCACAAACACTGCATATAATGATATAGTTTTTAGTAATCTGTATTACTGGAAGAGAGGCCCACCGATGACCAAGGCACTAAGACACCAGCTAGTTACGATGTTTATTGAACACGAAGCACAAAAATGATGAGACAATTGAGAAATGGTACAAGCTATTAACAAATATTTGTTAATTAATGGAGCAAAATAGATCTAAAGTTTAATTTGAGGGGTGGGTAAATGTGCGCTAAACATCGGAAAAAAAGAAAAAATTGCAATGTGCTGGACATATGCCTGAGGTGCAAACATATTATGACCGAAAATGACAGTGGATATTAATCATATTATGACCGAAAATGTAACTGTAGCCATTTCCAGCCCAGTCTACCGCACCAGAAACCTTCACCACCATCATACGCTAACTAAACAACCAAAAGTAAACACACACACACACACACACACATATACTCACACATACAAGATATTACAATTTTTTTTGTCTAAAACAAAAAGAAAGAAAGGAAAAAAAGAAATTACACCAACAATAATCCAACACATGCAAAAAGGACAATGGTGACTAGTAAAATAGCATATACCTATTATTATCCTGTACATCGACCATCTCAACCACCCCATTCTGTAGATCTTCCTTGGCTTTTGAAAGAGGTGAGAAGAACTGCAAACAGAAAGCTAGAGGTAAGCTTCAATACATTTGCCTGAGATAGATAGTTCCATAACCATAACTAGAAGTACCTGGTGCATCGAAATGAAAACCACCGAGATCCCTAACATAAAGTTCATGGTCAAAGTATGGCCGAATAAAGCAGCAGATGCTATGCCAGTAAATATTGTAGCTACTGTTGATGAATACTTCTTCAAAATTGTATCTGCAAAAAAATAGCCAAAGACTTGAGTTAAGCATTTAGCAGAGCATTAACGACTAAATTTTCATGTATAGTAAATGGTGAGGTGTTGTTAAGAGTCATCCTCTCACCAGCATATTTGAAGAAAAAGGAGGATAGAATTCCCTGCGCAGCATTGTTACATATCAAAAGCATAGTAGCTTTTGAATGGCCTTCCAATATATCAAAGCTGCTAGGACCTGAAACAATATTAGTTAAATTGTTTAAATTAAACAGTAAACATTAAAATTTGATTCCAATTCTAAAACAGCAAGTAATGAGAACACTGAAGCCTTACAGTATGTTTGAAACAGATATAAAAGGGTAGAAGCAAAAACCGGGACATAAATACCTTTAAAAATGACTGTTCCGAGAATCCCAAGAAAGTTGAAGATAGCGCCATATCCATATAAAAATAAGTTCTGAATCAAATAGCAAAATCATAGAGTCAGAGACATTGGATCAATTTTTTGTTTTCTCAAAAAAGAATAAATAAATGGAAGAATTCTGAAATACACATACCAAGTTACCAACTAAATGAAAAGTGGAATGATAAAGTTACAAATCATTCTTAACTACATCAACCATTCAGAAAAATCAAATTTATTTCGTCTCATGAACAGTATAACAGGAAGATGTTTTAGCCTATTAGGCAAAAGACCATTCTAGTAATCATAGTAGTAACTATGAAGTAGCAAAATTGAAGTGGCTATTGAAACTAGTAAGTGATTAAGATTTGGTCTCTTCGTTAGATTCTATAAGCATCATTGCATACAGATTTTGACAAAGTTATCCATGGTACATTCCATAGGGCATCTTTCTAATAAACATCTTCAATGACAAAATTATTGGCACCTTGCACAGGGGAGGGAGTTATTGGAGCAGGGCCACATTCATGAGAAAAAGGCCAAAAGAAAATTTTGCAGGAATCAAAGACATTCTATGTGATACACTATAAAAGCTAAAAAACTTTAGATGTTATCAAATCACCTGAAGATAAATGCTAGTGTCATACTGGCTTTTCAGGGCATATTCGTTGAAGACCGAGGCCATTGAAGGAACAGTTACCTGAATTGAATTTTACAATGATTGAATCCAGAGAACGATTCGTCATAAGGAAAAGCAAGTCTGTGCATGCATATCCAAGCAAATCATGAATGTAATCATCAGTGCATGCTCGAATCACTTACAAATATCAGAGTGTACACATATGCCCCAGTTGTAACTGGAAGACCCAAAGCACTTGTACCCTCAGGAAAGGACTTAAGTTGATTTATGCTAATCCCAATCAGCAATAAAGCAAGAGCTTCACACTGAAACATAAAAATGCATCACTGCAACATACTACTTGGCGTGTATCTATAAATGTTGATTAATAGATTCTGCAAGCATTGTCAAATGTCATTTCATGTATGTTCATGGTTGACAATGACGGATCTAGGAATTTCACTAAAGGGGGTCCAGTTAAAATGTTAAATAACAAGCTTGTAGTTTAAGTCGAAACGTTCATTTCATATAAAAATGTATTTACTGTAAATATAAATATCGATATGTGTACCGTTAAGTTTTTAAAAATTTATAATTCGTATCACCCTCAAACTTCTTAAAAAATAAACAAAAAAATTAGATTATATGGTTTAAATTCAACATCTATAATTTATGGAAACATAAGTTTTTTGGTTGAAAAACTGATTTAAATTGAACTTTTGCAGCACATTGCATATCATTTTTGTTGATGAGAGCTTATCAAGTGAACATTTTTTTTAAAATAAAGTTTAAAATATGTTATTGTCATAAAAAAAAAAAAACTAAAAAATCAACATTAAAAAATGCAACAATAACTACTCGGTTTTTAAAACACTAAATGGATTTACAATTAAAAGACCGAAAGAATAAATTATTATAAATATTTTCAAAAACTTATCTAGAAATGTAAAATATAAGGATTGTTAGTACATTTTTCAATGACTAAATAAGATTATTAATTTAAATTTAAATAGCATAGAAAAAAGTTTTAAATTATCAATATATTGGAAATATATTTTTTTTGCATTTCTATATATATTTTATAGTATTTTCTTATATATATATTTTGATTTTTTTAAAAAAAAAAAATCAGGGGGCCCTGGGCCTCATCTAACTCCGTCGTTGATGGTTGATGGAGCTCATTTACATAAAAGAGTTCTATCACTTCATCTCAGTGTTACAGCCATGGCGGTATGGCGTGGTGGGTTTCTGCCTTACTGCAAAGAGATTGTTGTGAAGGATGGTGGCGTCAATAGGCCAATACGGCCGGATTTTGTCCTGCCGCATTTATTGCCATCCGCAATGAATAACATTGCTTATAACTGGAACTCACCTGAATTATTGAAAACCGACGTCTCATTATGATCCTTAAAAGTACAGCAATCACCAAGACCTGTAAAAGAATAAACATTGAGAAAAAGATGACATGTAAGAGTATGAGACCACCTTAAGACTTAAAGACAATCCACTTCTTGTTAAAAGACAGTAATAAACATCCTAGTGCTTTCATCAATAAAATGATCTTTGATTGACAAATGAACACATAATGTCATGGAAACTAATCAACTGGGTTTGAAGTTTCAGAATGCGCTTTTCCCCAACTGCTAGTTCCAGAACGACATGGAAAAACTAAAATCAAGTCACAACAACTTCTTTTATTGTTGAGACCTAATTTTTTCATGACCAGAGATTTTATGGGAGAAAGCACAAGTAGCCATACTTACAAATTATGTTACGACTCAGAAAAAAACTTTTAAACTTTGATCAGAAAGTTAGTCATGGACATTCAAACAGTGTTGATGATACAGTAGAGAATTATAGTACTAGGACATTTTAATAAACGTGTAGACATTAATAGAAACATGCTAAAATAGCAACACACCTTTAGATTGCTCAGCATTTTCACTGTTGCCGGGTCGAAATATAGCTGGCAAACAGTAATAGTTATTAGTATTAAGATCATTATATATACGGAATAACAGTACAGTCAGATCCACCACCAGAGCTGAGTAAGGGCGGAAACATTTCTAGTTCACTGTTGCATTATTTATTTCTGCGAGTAAAACATTTACTAGAGTGATAAATATTCAGCATATCAAATAGTTTCAGGAAAACGATAAATTGTTCAAAAGTTAATTTTCCTATTATGACAGCAAACATTACTGCTTAAATTAAGAATATTATACATGAGCGAGTGGTTTAAGCAATGGCATCTACGTTGGTACTCATAAGATTAGAATAATTTGCTCCACCAAAGTCCTAGAGATGAAAAGGAGAGAATTGTAAAAATTATTTCAAACTGAGTTTCCTTTTGGGCAACATGAGTTTCCAGTAAAAGAACATTTTCGATCTTACTGACTATTACAGAAGCTAAAAAAAGGTTAACAAATGTATTCTATTAAAAATGTGGATCATATTTATATGAAGTAGGCACTTCCTTTGAGATAACATAGCAAACCAAAGGAATTATAATTATTAGAGGATGATCTGCATCTAGGAATATCAAGACATTAGGAAATAATAGGCTAGACTATAATGATATGGTCGTAGCATTTCCAAGCATATCAAGATGAACGGACTAAAATGATCACCTTCCTGGAATCCATGACTAGTTCTACATGTTGATAATTGATAGCAAAAATAAACTGTTAAAAATGAATGAGAATTTCAGAAGTATTAAATTACCCAAATTTCCCTGCGGTAGCTACTTAATATTTAATAACAACATACACAATCGCGCTCGGGGGTACGCAAAAGCTGCTAGGCAACAGACTGGTCTGTCGTATTAGCTGGTGCTGAATTACAAAATCTATAAGTTCGAACATGCACACACATACATAACTACAAATCTCACCTTCACATGAAGTACTAAAAGAGGATCCATTTTCATGACCTATGACTTCAAGGAATGCAGAGATATACATGGTCCGAAAGAATAATATGAGTACATACCTGATAGCTAGTGGCACAGCCAATTATGAAAGAAATAGATTCAACACATTTATGGCAAGAGCTATCAACTTTTGTATCAATTTCTTTATATTTTTCCTTTCATTGATAAAAATACTATATCCATTTTGATAAGTGACTATTCTATGAGAACGAGAACTCCTCACACTAAATTATGCCAATATGTGGTTAAGAAGTAGAGTGTCAAATCCACACTCCATTTCCCCTCCATTTTGAATGATTATTATCTTGGAATCAATTATCGTAGTTTACTTCATCCTAGTATGTTCTACAGTAAAACCGAACAGTCAATTAAAGTATTCAAAAAACAAAATCTTATGATTCTTGCATAATTCAATCTTCTAGGATCATGAGATTAATAGATCAAATTTGAAATTTCAAAGAAGAAAAGATAGATGAAGCAGGGACATATCATAGATCATAGGCTGTAAACATACCATTGCAAACTACAGAAATTTGAATAAAATATTAAAAAGCAGCAAGGGTACTAGTAAGTACACCACCATGTATGAAGAAGTGAACTTTACCTGCATAACGAACTTGAGATAGTTATTTATAGCATAAAGAAGGGCTGGAACAGCCAAGAGCACATTGCTGCGAGCAGCCTGCAAATACAAAATGTCATGCAATTACCAGATGCAACTGCAATGCAGGATAAAGTGCACCAAAAAGTGAATAGTTATAAGACAAAACAGTTATAGAGAAGTAATGGAAAAATAAAGATGAAAGCAATGCCGCAATTAAGAAAGAAAAATCGAATTAATTTTAGCATCACAATCATAATCTCTTCTCCTCAAATACAGGTGACAGTACATCAAGGTGTCCTAAGGACAAAATGAATCCAAAATGCCCTACCTGAATAAATGTGGAAACTGAGAGAAGTGGCTTTTCACCAACCTTCTGTTGCCTGGCCTGCAGGAAAAGAGCCAACTGTGGATATTGCAATGTCCATATATGATATGGATGTACAAGCGAGTACTTAGTAAGTTCTTATGACAGCTAACATTTAGAACTATCAATAGGCCACGAAGAGAAGTCCACTTTCCCCATTCACTAGTGAAATACATATGCCCTCATGCAACCACAGAGACCAAGATCTTTTTATTGGCTCAGTACAATTTCTTGATATTGTTTTGGGGAAAAAAAAATCAATCTCTTGAAGAAAAGAAAACTAAAAAAGAACGGCCTTCAAAGTGTGAAAATCCTAAAAAATATAAAAGAATGCGAGTACAAAATACTTGATCCCATTTTAAAAAAGATCCTCTCAAAATACCTGATGCATCTAGAACCATTCAAGTAGCCAAAATACTTGTCTGTTTCTCAGATCACTGCATGGTTGTTGTGAAACTAAATCATGTAATCATCTCAATAATCTCAATGATACAAGGAACCTTATTTATATATACAACTAACGGAATGCTCACACTAATCAAATCCAAATCTAATCCCGTAATTATAGTAAACATATATAACCTAATTTAATAGGCTCTATTCTACATTTACCCAATATATACCAACAATGGTGAATGTAAGTTCGTGATTAAAAAGAACAACTTGTATTGTGTTAATTGCTCAAAAAGTAGCTTAACGCCCCAGGACTGCCCTCCAGGCCTGATAGTAGTCGCCACTATACCAACACGAGCATTTCCCGCACGCTTTGAGCACTCACGTGTTTCCTGAGAAAACATCCCAGGAGGTTACCCATCCCACAATTACTCCAAGCCCAGCACGCTTAACTTTGGAGTGTAAGAAATCTCTTGTTTCTTATTTCCTTGAAATGGAGATATACAAATCAAGTCTTTTTAAGCTTTCCCAGTTTGTCTCATAACATGACTTGGGGTATCACAAGTAGAATCATTAAGGTTGTAAATTAAGGAAGATCATCCTACGAATTTCACATCCTCATGAAGTTTTATTAAAAAGAAAAGTTCCATGATCCTTTGTACTAAAGTTGATAATATATAGTCAGTAGCACAAGATAAAGTGATAGGACCTAACTGCTGGTGTCCCGTTTATATATAGTTTCTCACTTCCTTTCATTATTAAAGCAATCCAAGAATAAAAAGGAACCTCCCATTTTCTTTCCTCTTTCGTCAATGTTGCTAAAGATATAGAAAGAAATTAGACCTTCTTATATTCTATTAACAGGAAATGGTAAATATACCTGAAGTATAAGCATCACAATTGCAAAAATTACTTTTGCAACCTCTGTTAAAAAGTTGACGCTGATAGGGCTAAACTTGAATCTGCCATCTACTTTTGACATAAAAACCAAAATTGGCTGTAGAAAGATAATGAGAAGATTCTTAGAAAAACAATTATGAGAACCAGGGTACATAAGATGCAGTAAGAGTGCATGCGACTATTAAGCAAAAGTAATATACGACAGTGATCCTTGCTTTTATGAACACATTCGAAGTACACAGGTATATGAAGTAAATAAATACACGTGCATGGATGAAGAATACATATGTCAAGTAATAAAATGAAGTAGGCAGGACATTCTTTATTTCATTTACTATGGAAAAAAGGTAAATGCATGAACAGCCATGGTGATCCATTATGGAATTGGTACTGTATACTTGTGCCAGACAATTGCACTACTCTCTAACTTCACATCTCAATTGTTTATCATGTGATCCATCCTCATAACTACATTCTACTTGTTTCAATTCAACCTGTTTCCATTTAACATTCCACCAACCATTGTAGTTTGATAGCAACCCAGTGACCTTTCAATCCTTCCACAATTTAAGAAATACAATCTTAAAGAACATAAACATTTTCCCACGAATCAATAACCTCTAAAATCATAATCCTTTATCAAGCATTTTGATCCAGCAGAATTATAACCAAAAACTGAATCAAAGTACATACCAGTTATATAGGTTAGAGTCTTAGAGAACAGCGCCGAAAGCAGCCATACTTGTTCTATCTCCATTTTTTAGGCATATATTATGCAAAAAAATAAATAAATAAATAAAAAATAAAGATTTGGCGTCATATGGAAGGTCCTGGTGCCCACAGTCCACAGATATTCAAATATATTTTGGTTTGTATTCGATAAACCTTCCACTAGGGATATGGTGCACATAAAGAATCTGCATATTTCTCTCACTAGGAGGATGGTTTCTTTGCAACGTAGCTTGGAACTGCAGGATATCGTTTTCCACACTGTTCCTTTAGATAAACTACCCAGTTCTTTCTTCTTTGCACTCTTACATGAGGTTTTACAGGTTCTGCTTCAGGACTATTTTTCACGGACTTAGGCTGGACTCATGAATTTAAAGGCATGATGTTGTGAAGAATGATCATAGCTATTATCTATTATTTCATAAGATCAAAAAGGAGTAATCTTTGATGATCATGACGGTTTTATTGATGATGTTCGATCAAGACAAATTCATGCTGGTATTGTGGATTCATGTGCTAAAGATTTCAGGCATTTGTACGAGTTTGACTTGTTTAGAGATTTGAGCACTCCACTATTTGTAGTTCAAAATATCCCGAAGGGATGGTTGATTCACTTGTCTAGACTTTCTCTTTCTTTTATAATAAAATGTTCCTTGTAAGAAATGTAATAATATAGCAAAATAACTTAATTTCCAGTTTTATTACAGAGGATATGAACGACTAATTAAGGGTGCGACTGGATATATATTCAACCTCATTTATCTATCCACAAATCAAAAAACACATTATTCATTAGTTCACTTTTCTCTTTTCTCTGCTCAATTTTCCCAACAGAATTTTTAGATTAAAAATCAGTCATTATTACATATTAATCTATAAAAGACCCACATATTTAAAACTACCAATCATAGCTTTACTATTTCCCTATCACATTACATTATATATTACAATTTCTATCACATCATTTTATATTATTCAAATCATTAATACTTCCACTAACTCTTATTTTACCAGTAACTTTTTTTTACACCCATGAAAAGATATACAATTGCACCCTAAGTAATGAGGGCAACTGATGCAATGTTTTCCTCATCATCGAATAAATCACACTGCTGCTAAGTACAGAAGCAATTATCTCAAGAGACCATATAAGACCAACGACTATAGACCCAACAGAAAGTAAATCAAACAAAAAGAAATCCGTGGAATCATATGGATGTTCGAACCTATTTCAACGCTTGGAAACTTTTCAAAATATGTTCACAATTTCATATTGAAATGTAGCTCCTCTAAAGATGATTGCAATGGGCAATATTATTCTCAACAAAAAGAGACTTATTTGAGATCCTGTTAATGTAATTAGCCCCCTAGTATTAGAATAATAAATTAATAACCAATCCATGCAAACCTTTCCTCAAGTTCTAAGTCCTTTTCCTTCTTTCAGTCAAAAGATTCTTTTCATTTCTTACCACATCTGCTATACCATCTGGATCAATACTCAATCACAAGTAACTAACATGCATCCCATATCTAAATAATAGTAAGGCATAATATAGAAATTAAAATGATCGGAGAACAATTTGCTGGAAAATATAAAATTCGGATACCACCAGAGAGTGCATACCTGTAAACCAACAAGGACGCAATCACCACCAACTAACAGGAAGTTAAGAACCCGTTGCTTTGAAGATACCTTACTCCTATACCGATCATATGCTCGTGAAACAGTCTTTGTGGATGGAGAGACCAGTTTGGAATGACAGACACTACACTCTATCATCCCGTTCTTCATCAGCCAACCTCCACGTATGGCTATGAAATTATATCCAAGGAAAGGAAAAAAAAAAAAGGAAAAAAAAAACATAAATCAAGAATTCATCCATAACAGTTTCCAAGGGACAAAGTCCAAACTCACGACTTGACCGAAGAAATCAAGAATTCATCAATAACAGTTTCCATGTGGACACACATACATCAACATCAGCTAACGAAACAACCAGAGTTTAAATTAAAATATCCATCATCTGGTGCACACATCATGTCTAAGCCAACACTAGCGAGTAGAAACGAAAGCGAAGCATTTCGAAAGCTAGAAAAATTATCGAGAGAGGAAAAAATCCGAATGAACAAACCAAGCCCCGACCAACCCTGTGATGCCGCACAACAAGATCTTATCAGAAAGCATCAACTCTTACACAAATGCATTTCACAGTATATCAAATTGGGGCAACGCTCAATTGAAGTACAGTTTTGGCTGAATCATGCTGAAACACCAACAGGGATGAGAGCCAACCGCATTGGCATGACAATTGCATGCTTGATCCATTGAAATTGCTGATCACATCATGGATCAAATATCAGATTATCATGAACAAAACACGTAATGCTGAATACATACCTGTGGCAGAAATTTGCTCTTGATTTTAAATTGGCGAAAACTGCATGAGTGCGGCTGCTAGATCTGAGGAGCGCTCCCGGCGGGATTTTCGTGCCGGTGAAAAAAAAAACGCATACAATTTTTGTATAGAGAACACAGCCTTGAGTTTATTTTCTGCACCTGAAGACTGGACAAGAGGAAGGCAGTTGATACAAAGGTTAAGGAAGAACAGCAGCTACAGCTTAGATTTGATTGTTCAGTATAGGTGTAGAAATGGTGGAATGACAAACATACATAAATTGGATTCACAGAATATGCTGAGGCTGTGTGTTGGGCACCTACCAAAAATGATGGACATGGAAGGTGGCTTAGGACCTAACTCACAAGGTGTGGTGCCAAGTATACTTCTTTTTCGTTTTTTTTCTTAAAAAACAATAAAAATAAAAAAATCTGGCTTTTTTAGTAACATTCTACTACAGCAATTATACAGCCGAATCTAAGGAGCAGTCTACACGACGAGACGTCGGTAGCTTAGAATCAACGTGTAGTGCCCTATTCTTTTTTTTTTTTTGTTGTTATCGTGTGTATTGCTCGACTTATCTCGAATAGACTTATTATAATTAATTGGACGTTCTCGTCTCATTAATTTAATAAGTCGTACTAATTTATTTGGTTGTCATCAATCGATACTATTGATATTCGTGTTGTATTATCCGAGTCGTTATTCTCAAACGAGCCTTGGGTTTTAATCTCGGCTCTTTTTTGCTAATTAATTTTCGGCCCAATTAGATATATTTTTTCAGCTCATTTGGAGTTAAATTTTGCCCCTTAATTGTTTAATTAATTAAGTTGACCCTTTTCCTTGTATTTAGTTCTGGCCCACTTTAGATGAGCAAACTCAGCCTTTGAGAAAACTCATTTACTATTCACCGCTCCTCCTATTACTACATACCGCTCCCCATTGGACAATTTTGCCCCTAGCATTTTTTTCCAAAAAGTAAAGAAAAAAAAAACTGTACGGCCGGCGAAACCGGACGGCTTTTAGCTCGTCCGGCCGCCGGAACCGGACGGTTCAAAAGGCGTCCGGCCGGCCGGTTCGGACGGCATAAAAGCCGTCCGAAAAGTTCATCCGGTCATTTTTTTTTATAAATTATAATAATATTTATAATTTAATTATATTAAAAAATTATAAATTATAATTTAAATTTATAATTATTTTAATTTAAAATGAAAAAATAATATATTAATAAAAAAATTTATATTAATTAATTTATTTGAAAAAAAATAATATAATTAAAAAATATATTATATTAATAAATAAAAAGTATATTAATTAATTTATTGAATAAAAAATATTTTTAATTATCAGAAGAATAATAATTACTAAATATTATTAAATTAATTAATCACTATTTAAATGGGTAAAAA